CAGGCTAGATGGGGAGCGTTGCTGCACAGCTATTTTCAGGTCTCTCCAGAGATGTTCGATCGTGTTCAAGTCCAGGCTCTGGCTGAGCCACTCAAGGACATTCAGAGACTTGTCCCAAAGCCACTCCTGCGTTGTCTTGGCTGTGTGCTTAGGGTCGTTGTCCTGTTGGAAGGTGAACCTTCGCCCCAGTCTGAGGTCTTGAGCGCTCTGGAGCAGGTTTTCATCAAGGATCTCTCTGTACTTTGCTCCGTCCATCTTTGCCTCGAGCCTGACAAAAAAACTGAAAAACATCCCCACAGCATGATGCTGCCACCACCGTGCTTCACCCTAGGGATGGTGCCAGGTTTCTTCCAGACGTGACGCTTGGCATTCAGGCCAAAGAGTTAAATCTTGGTTTCATCAGACCCGAGAATCTTGTTTCTCGTAGTCTGAGAGTCTTTAGGTGCCTTTTGGCAAACTCCAAGCGGGCTGCCATGTGTCTTTTACTGAGGAGTGGCTTACGTCTGATTGGTGGAGTGCTGCAGAGATGGTTGTCCTTCTGGAAAGTTCTCCCATCTCCACAGAGGAACTCTAGAGCTCTATCAGTGACCATCGGATTCTTGGTCACCTCCCTGACCAAGGCCCTTCTCCCCCGATTGCTCAGTTTGGCCGGGCGGCCAGCTCTAGGAAGAGTTTTGGTGGTTCCAAACTTCTTCCATTTAAGAATGATGGAGGCCACTGTGGTCTTGGGGACCTTCAATGCTGCAGAAATGTTTTGGTACCCTTCCCCAGATCTGTGCCTCGACACAATCCTGTCTCGGAGCTCTACGGACAATTCCTTCGACCTCATGGCTTGGTTTTTGCTCTGACATGCACTGTCAACTGTGGGACCTTATATAGACAAGTGTGTGCCTTTCCAAATCATGTCCAATCAATTGAATGTACCACAGGTGGACTCCAATCAAGTTGTAGAAACATCTCAAGGATGATCAATGGAAACAGGATGCACCTGAGCTCAATTTCGAGTCTCATAGCAAAGAGTCTGAATACTTATGTAAATAAGGTATTTCTGTTTTTTATTTATAATACATTTGCAAAAATGTATAAAAACCTGTTTCACTTTGTCATTATGGGCTATTGTTATATTTAGTCCATTTTAGAATAAGGCTGTAACGTAACAAAATGTGGAAAAAGTCATAGGGTTGAATAGTTTCTGAAGGAACTGTATATTTTAAATATACAATGAACACATACACGGGTGTATCAGTCTTCCGTCTTTGCTGGTGAACATTTTCTTTGATCTCTATCCCCTGCTCCAAGCAATTGGATTTGTCTATAGTCGTCTATTCCATCATAGTTACAGGTGTGGTGCGAAGAGTACACTCTAGAGAGTGTGTATCTACTGATACAGATATAGACATACCTCACATCTGATCTGCAACCTATGGTGTGGCCTGTTGACAGATCTGCAGATATTTGAAATAGTTGTCATCAAGTGCTTTCCATCTGGCACCTGGAAGGATACTATCGCCTCTTATGATGGGAGCCTGTATTCCCTGGCACATGTCTTTTGTCTGGATTTCAACATCTATCCTCTTTAGCCAGTTAGCGGTTTCATTACTCTTTTGCTATCAAGGGTATTGTATTCTTCTAGCCGGATAGCCAGTTAGCGGTTTCCAGCCTTCCAGACACTTAGCGGTTAGCATGGTCTGTTTCACTCTGAACCGATGCTCCAACATCAAACAACGTGAAGGGTTGTTTACGTTCCTGCTTCTAATGCCTCAGAACCTCATCGTTTTGGAAATCCTGTACTGTCTTTATCCCTCCCTCCATCTCTCTGTCTGATCTACCAGTATCTATCCCTCCATCTCTCTCTGTCTGATCTACCAGTATCTATCCCTCCATCTCTCTGTCTGATCTACCAGTATCTATCCCTCCATCTCTCTCTGTCTAATCTACCAGTATCTATCCCTCCATCTCTCTCTGTCTGATCTACCAGTATCTATCCATCCATCTCTCTGTCTGATCTACCAGTATCTATCCCTCCATCTCTCTGTCTAATCTACCAGTATCTATCCCTCCATCTCTCTGTCTAATCTACCAGTATCTATCCCTCCATCTCTCTGTCTGATCTACCAGTATCTATCCCTCCATCTCTCCATCTAATCTACCAGTATCTATCCCTCCATCTCTCCATCTAATCTACCAGTATCTATCCCTCCATCTCTCTGTCTGATCTACCAGTATCTATCCCTCCATCTCTCCATCTAATCTACCAGTATCTATCCCTCCATCTTTCCGTCTAATCTACCAGTATCTATCCCTCCATCTCTCCATCTAATCTACCAGTATCTATCCCTCCATCTCTCCATCTAATCTACCAGTATCTATCCCTCCATCTCTCCATCTAATCTACCAGTATATATCCCTCCATCTCTCTGTCTGATCTACCAGTATCTATCCCTCCATCTCTCCATCTAATCTACCAGTATCTATCCCTCCATCTCTCTGTCTGATCTACCAGTATCTATCCCTCCATCTCTCCATCTAATCTACCAGTATCTATCCCTCCATCTTTCCGTCTAATCTACCAGTATCTATCCCTCCATCTCTCCATCTAATCTACCAGTATCTATCCCTCCATCTCTCCATCTAATCTACCAATATCTATCCCTCCATCTCTCTCCGTCTAATCTATCAGTATCTATCCCTCCATCTCTCTCTGTCTAATCTACCAGTATCTATCCCTCCATCTCGCTCTGTCTGATCTACCAGTATCTATCCCTCCATCTCTCCGTCTAATCTACCAGTATCTATCCCTCCATCTCTCTCTGTCTGATCCATCCCAGCCCTGAGTGATGTTTGGCATAAGGCTCCAATAGTTGAGCAGAAGAAACTCTCCAGGCCTGACTGATTACACTGTCTGACACGAAGACAGACAGACATTGGTTTCTGTATACAGACGTGACCAACCCTGGTTCTGTTTTCTGTCAACAGTGTCTATGTTAGCATTTTTTCAAGTCACTTGAATTGGAACTCTGTGTGTCTGCTTAGTGTTTCTTTGTTGTACGATGAGGTGTAGAGACAGAGAGTGAACAAAAACCAGAAGCCGTGAGAGATGGAGAGAGAGAGATGGAGAGTGAGACAGATGGAGAGAGAGAGAGATGGAGAGAGAGAGATGGAGAGAGAGACAGATGAAGAGAAGAGAGATGGAGAAATGAGGAGACAGATGAGAGATAGACTAGAGAGAAGAGAGAGAAGAGAGAGAGTAGAAGATGAGAAGATAGATGAGACGATGAGATGCATAGAGAGAGAGATAGATGAGAATGGAGAGATATAATGATGAGAGAGATAGAAGAGTACGATATATGTAGCATGATAGATGAGAGATGATATATGGATAGTATATGATATTTATACTTGTCTATATCTAGATACTAGCGTAGATCTCTAACTATGTCGTATCTATCTGTATACTATCTTATAGATACGAGATTATAGATAGAACTTACTATGTATATATCATATGTCTATATCTTGATACGACCTGTGAGAGATCGATTGATAGCGATATATCATAGATTAGATTGAATCTATTTCAGCATATTAGATATGGAGATATGAGATAGGCATATCGATGACTATAGTCATTTACTAGATGGAGAGAGAGAGATTGATGATCAGAGAGGGATCGCTAGTCAACCTGTCTGACAAAGCCCAACCTTGACCCTGAACAATGTGGTCCTCGGAAACATATGGTATCACCACACACCCAGAAACATATGGTACCACTCCAGTTGTGTTGATCCAGCCTTCACATTAGACTGGTTATTACATTTTATCATGTTTGCCTTATTTTTCTCTGGTAGATATTTACCTTTGGCTAAAATCTCCTAAATCCTGTCCCCAGAACTCTGTTCCAGAGACTGGGACTCATGCTGTATTGTCTGTGTAACTCTAGGAGGCCAGTCCCACACCTTCACACCCTCCAATTGACCCTTAATGTGATGTGAGTAGGGACTTTAGGTCTTAGGTTTTGATCATATCAAAACATCTTAGATCCCTTCAATCTGGGCATATATGACAGTATTATGAAATGTACTATAAATATCTAGAAACAGGGCCAAGAGGGCAATTACATGAAATACGGTTTAAAAGGGCAGTCTGCCGTTGCTACATCCATAAATGAAGGATATGTACCCATTGGTTCTTGAAGAATATAACTTTTAAATACATCATAAGCTTAGTTCAACTGTTGTACCCCATCAGAACCCAAAATATAACCTTGTTTTACTCCAATGTTTGTAAACAAAGTAAATGTAAACAAACACTATATAGCCTCAAAACATGGTTAAAACTATCATTTTGATAGCATGGATGGTAATTCCTTGCATCCATAGCCCTGTCTATGAAACTGAAAGGGGATTACATTTCTCCAGCTCCATCTCTCAGCATTTTACCGGAACAGGGGCGAGGAGAACACTTTGTTATTGTTTCAACTTCTGATTGCCGCTTTAATAGAAATGTATATACTAAAAATTGATGACAGGTTTAGGATTCTAATGAAGAGAAGAACTAGATTACAGTGAGTTTATGGAATGCTTGGAACACGTTCAGATTGACCCGTTTTCTACAACTCTTTTGCTCCTGTTATTAAATTGGCGGGTAGCAGCTTTGTTCCATCCCTGCCATACCAGGTAACCATTTTAAAGGCTTTTCTCTGTCTTTAAAATTACTCTTCTCCTAGTTAGTTATTGAAGGTTCTATTGTGCTTGGCAGAGGAAGATACTATAAAGGCCCTTACAGATCCAGCTAAAGATAGTGAGAAGAAGGGAGTGAAAGAGCAACAAAAGGTCTAGTCAATGAACTTCCTCTCTGTCTGTCTCTCTGTCTCTGCAGTGAGGGGGTGATGATGCTTCAGACTAGAAGAAGAAAAAGGAGACCATGAAAACCAATATTTGTGTTTATCTTTACTGGCTTTTTAATTTAGAATGCCTCTCTTCTCTTCTATTCCTTCCAGTCGTAACTACGTGAGAGGATCCATAACCATCTATATCATCAACCTGCATCGGTCGAGGAAGAAAATCAAGCTGGCGGGTACCTTACGTAACATGACTGTCCATCAGTACCTGGTACAGCCCTATGGGACAGACGGACTACACGCCAGGTCAGTAGCAGCCCACAGGGCAAAGACGTCAATTTAACATCTATTCCATGTTGGTTCAACGTATTTTCATTGAAATGACGTGGAAACAACGTTGATTCAACCAGTGTGTGCCCAGTGGGAGGGGTCTGACATTCACACACACACACTCTCTCCTTTCTCCTTCTCTCTCTCCCTTTCTCTCTTTCTCTCGCTCCCTCCATTTCTATATATTTCTTCCTTTCTCTATATATATCTTGCTGATCACAGACAGAGGGCTACACACAGAGAGAACAGAGCTTCATGGAACACTTGTTTTCTGATCAAACATCCACACTGCTTTATTAATAGAGTATATTTTTTCATATACTGACCTAACAAGACACACGCGCGCGCATGCGCGCACACGCACACACACACACACACACACACACACACACACACACACACACACACACACACACACATTGACCTGACATGTCCAAGATACAGGAGAGAGACAGAGATACCTAGGTTCCCATAACAAAGCTGTCCCTCTAGCTAACCTCAGTAATCTCTATGGGAAACAGGGTGGATGGTTCTCCTTTAATAGGGAGGATTTGAAGATAGGATTTGGGATCTCTATCAGTGAACCATGTGGCTCTACTGAAGCATTTTTGGTTCCACTTTAAACAAATCACAACTTTAAAGGCTCAAGCCTCCATAAACCCTTTATAAGGCCTAGACTTTATTTTCCTTATCCATCCATATTATTATTAACATTGTTATTATCATTAAATATCTTATTTAAAAGAGTATTGTTAAACTACGTAGAATTGCAGGAAATGAGCTTCAAACAACACCATTTTCCTAGGTCCCTCAAATTACACCAAATCAAGCTGGTGGTGTATTTAATATAGGCTATCTTAATAAATAAATACATTAGGGGGGGGCATTACATTTTTTATATGTGAAAAGGCCCTGGGGAAACAAGGTTGGGAACCCCTGCTAGGTCAAGAAGATCAACAAGGACCTCAACCCCCCGAGCCACGGCCTGTTCACCCCGCTACCATCTAGACGGTGGAGACAGTATAGGTGCATCAAAGCTGGGATCAAGAGACTGAAAAACAGCTTCTATCTCCAGGCCATCAGACTGTTAAATAGTGTGTGTGTGTGTGTGTGTGTGTGTGTGTGTGTGTGTGTGTGTGTGTGTGTGTGTGTGTGTGTGTGTGTGTGTGTGTGTGTGTGTGTGTGTGTGTGTGTGTGTGTGTGTGTGTGTGTGTGTGTGTGTGTGTGTGGTGTGTGTGTGTGTGTGTGTGTGTGTGTGTGTGCGTGTGTGTGCGTGTGTGGGTGGGTGTGCTGTAATAACAGATTTTTTATGATGAGGATGTGTGAGTGGTGTTACAGGGGATTATAGTGGTGCCTAATAGAACCGTAAGCAGTGTAGGGGAACGCCGGCTCTGTTCTAGACTCTTACTGCTGTTCGAACTGCTTTAACTGACCCCAGACAGGGCAGTGGAGACTTTTATTCATGTTTAAGCAACTCCAGATGTCTATAAATATGACTACAACTCAACAGCCAGCCCTATATACTGTATACAGTATATGCCACTCTGACCATACGAAATAGATATAGGTATTAATGTGCTTTTCAATCTCTAGATTTTCCAATACAAAGTGAAATGAACAAGTGAAATGTTACAAAAGTTCAAGAATTATTTGAAATTGAGGCTAACCAGGTGGGAAAGAATGTAATCCATCGAATGCCCCAAAATGACCTTTCATTTTCCTTTACATATTGGTATCCTTAAATCTCATAAATCAGCCAATGTGGCACTCTCTGGTCCCCATGTAAATATCTAGTTATCCTTTCCTATTTGGAGCCTATGATCTCAATTAGGTCCTCTCAGGCCTATATCACAGTGTAATTCCACGCTCCTTTCTTATTTTGTATTGCTTTAATTTAGACAGTATGAAACAAATGTGGTGACAGGGCAGGAGGAGAGAGAGTAGGAAAGTGGCCACAAGGATTGAACCCATGACCAACGGGGCTCAGATGTGTGCTTGGTGCCAGTAGTGATACCACACACACAGTCAACACTGCAGTTCTATTATATACTATTATTATATACTGTGTGACCATGACACTATCCACTTTATATTTGTGGATCATACTCATACAGTCATACTTGACATAGCACATTCATAATCTATACAGTATATCCTATTGTGTACATATCAGTTTATTACTTTGCATACTACCTTCTTCTAATTACTTGATATTTTTACTATACTTTTTTATTGTTGATATTGATTATTGTACTGCAATGTTGAGGGAGATGGCACGCAAGCATTTCACTGCACCTTTCATACATGCTGTAAAAAAAAAATGTGTCCTCACGTTTTCCATGGAATATGGAAGGATTGTTGTCAAACAACATTGCAGTGAATTCAAGGGGCAGCCCGAACTAGGCTGTAATCCGGGTCTCTACGATTGTTACTGTAGGGGAGAGGTGTTAGTTAAGATCAACATTGGGGTTCTGAAGCCTGCTGTGTGGCACACACTATCACACCGTGCCGACGAAGAGAGAGAGAGAGAGAGAAGAGAGAGAGAGAGAGAGAGAGATGAGAGAGATAGAGAGAGAGAGAGAGAGCCGATAGAGATATCGTAGAGAGCTATCTCTGCGATATCAGAGAGAGCGTAGAGAGAGGAGAGAGAGCCTCGCGCCTCGCTAGAAGAGCGAGAGAAGACAGAAGAGACAGAGAGACAGAGAGAGACAGCAAGACAGAGAGAGAAATAGAGAAAGAGCGAGAGAGAGAGAGAGAGAGCGAGACAGAGAGCGAGAGAGCGAGACAGAGAGCGAGAGAGAGTGTTCAGCCTTTAGATCCCTGTTGTTTCTAAAGAAAGGAAGGTGGAGTTGAAGGTGGAGTTGAAGGTGGAGGTGGAGGTGTGAATTGAGTGTTCAGACTGTTGGAAGAGTTCTGTACGGCGACAGGGTGCGTGTGAGGGTTTATTTACTACCTTTATTACACCAACAGTTCTGTTGTTCAGAACAACAACATAGTTGTTTTGATGACTCCAATGGAATCGTCTCCCAATTAGGTGTTGCCAGAGCCACATATTTAGATAAATATATGGTTCTGAGTATTGTTTTTCCCCCTGAGAAAATGTTACAAAATTGTCTTCATAATTTTTCATTATTTATAATCGTGTAATTCATTTGCTATTTCGCTGTGTTTATCGTCGTTTTGGCATGGAAGTTAAAACCTCATTGCATTGGATTCATTAGGCTTTCACGTTCAGTTAGCTAGTGGACCGCTGACTTAGTACAGGCCTCCACTCGCAGATGACGGGACAGGAAAACGACTATGGGAATCTGGCACTCATAAGAATACAACATTGGCTATTTGTTTATGAGCATCCAGTCTAATCCCCACTCCCAAAGTGGTTGAAATTCTTCTCAGTGCTCTCTTTCCATGCCAGTTATTTGTATTGGACTAGAAATTCACCCATGGGAGTGCAGATCAATTCATGAATTGCCTGGAATTGAGAAAGAATAAACCCCAACCTAGCCACTCTTCCATCTAGATTAGAAGGATCACATCTGTCACGAAACCTGCTCTAGTGTCAAGAGGCTGCAATGATGTAACTGTAGCGCCCCCTAGTCTTCAGAGGACTGTAAGTACAGCCTCAGAATGACTCCTGCCCTACCATTTACATTTTTGTCATTTAGCAGACGCTCTTATCCAGAGCGACTTACAGTTAGTGAGTGCATACATTTTCATACCGGGCCCCCGTGGGAAACGAACCCACAACCCTGGCGTTGCATGCGCCATGCTCTACCAACTGAGCTACCAGTCCAGCTTCGCTCTCCTCTCTCCCCACCTCTCTCCTATCTCTCATTCCACTCTCTTCGTCTCTCTAACTCCACTCTCCTTTCTTCCTCCAGGTCAGTCCAGTTGAACGGAGAAAGGTTGTTGATGGTAGACAACGAGACGTTTCCAGAGTTGAAGCCTCGGACTCTGCGGGCAGGGAGGACAATAGCCATGCCCCCTATGACCATCGGCTTCTACGTCATCAAGAACATCAACGCTTACGCCTGCCGCAGATAATACTCAACAGATAAAACTCCTCCTCTCCCTTCACCTACCCCCCCCCCACACCCCTCACCACCCCCACCGTTTCCTAATACCGGACCACATCCTCACCCCTCGCTCCACTTATCCTTACTTCCTAGCCCTTACTTTCTACCTTCTGTTTCCTTATCACTAGTCCCTAGTCCCTGGTCTGACTCCGAAAGGCTTGCCCTTCGTCCAAAACAAGGGTTGCACTGAATACCTTTCAATCGCTCTCTACACCAACTCCCCCATGTGCTGTGAGACGGACAGTGATGATTCTAGTATGTGATTTTGTATTGTTTTGTAAAAAGGTTATTGAGTTTTGTTATGACAGAACTTCTATGTCAGATGGTTGTATCATCATCCAACAAGGCTTCTCTTCCATGTCTTTGATCATCAGATCTACTAACGGTCACTCAGCTTTGTATCTGCCAACAACTCTTATTGTTTCCCCCGCAAACTCCTTTCAACTCTCTGTTGTTGATACTCACATGCTCCTGGCAGAAGGATAGACAGAAAGAAGAGAAAACATGGAGAAAACACAACCAGTCAACCACAGGGCATGTGTTAGCTCCAACAGCCATGTCTGCTGTTCTGATTGAATTATCTGTCTCCGTGTGTGTGTGTGTGTGTGTGTGTGTGTGTGTGTGTGTGTGTGTGTGTTTGTGTGTGTTTGTGTGTGTGTGTGTGTGTGTGTGTGTGTGTGTGTGTGTGTGTGTGTGTGTGTGTGTGTGTATGTGTGTGTGTGTGTGTGTGTGTGTGAATACCCTGCTGATGAGC